TCAAAAGTGTAATTTGGAGTTATGTCTAAAATAAGCAAATTAAATAAATTAGTATTTTGCTACCTAAAATAACAATAATATTTTTTTTTAATTCAGTTTGAATCGCGTACCGCCACTTTCCCATCGTTCGATTTGACGAATTTGATTTGAAGAATATGAAATTTGACACTCAGTACCCACTCAGTGCGCCAGTGGAAAACGCTATGAGTATTGAAAAAAATACATGTATACTTAATAAAATCTCTTACATAATTCATTACATTTTGTCACCTTAATAGGGTGTTGAAAACAACACCCTATAACCGACTGGATGTTGAGTTCTCAACACCCTCAACACAATAGTCGCCGGCCCTGATCGCCGACACGTCGGAGATAACCGCTCCGCCGCACCGGGCGTCTTGTACATATATCTATATATACACCGATTGTACATACCGCGGACAGCGCGCACACACACACCCACGCCCACACCCACACACACGCGCGCGCGCACGCACGCACGCACGCACGCACGCACGCACGCGCATACACATATTGTATATAGCGTTTAATAAATATATATTGTATCGTCTCATACGCATCGTCTATACACATATTCGCATCTCCCTCTCCCGCCGAACCTCTTTTACGCGCCGCCCGCGTTACGACCCTAGCACGAGCCGACGAGCTAGCCCGCGCCTAAAAGTCAGGTTGTTACAAGTTTAAATCAAAGAAAAATAAATTTAGACTTGTAAGACATGCATTATGTGGAAGAGAATTTATTATTACTTTTATTATTACTTTTAAATTATATTACAATTATATTATTATTGTTACTTTTAAATTATATACAATTATCTTTTATTATTTATTTTTATTAATTATCATTCGAATTTTTAATTGTTCTTATAGTTTTTCTTACTCTATCTAGTAGCGTCAAACGTATTTACATGAAAAATTTTCTATTTAAATTAAATTTTTTCATTTTATACTGTTAATTCTTTAATTTTTGTGGGAACATTTAAATTGAGCAAGGTAATGCAAGTTTGTGATGTTTTATATAATATTTTGAAGGAGAATTAAATAACCACTACTTTAGTTGGAAGAGGAAATGTCTTTGAATGAATTGTGATGTAATGATTTCATTTAAGAGGAATTTAAACCATTTGGATTGGAATAGGAAGATTCTTCAATAAGTATACGTATACTTAGATTTCATTGTATAAAAATTAAAGATAGTATTATTTGGATTAAGTAAATAGCAAATAAAGATAGTATCACTTGAGTTTTACTTTTCATTCTGATAGTAGAATTTAATTTGGCGCCACAGTTGTTGATATCAAATCGTTCGTACAAATAATACATACCATTAGATTAATATTCATTATTTATTTAATTTGGCATGGTATAAAGAAGTGGGATTTAACTTGGCGCCAGTTCTTGATATCAAATCTTTTATAGGAATAATACATAACATTTTTTTGATAAAATTTTGATGAATTTAACTTGGCGTCAATTTTGTTGATATCAATTATACGAATATGATACATATCATTAGAGTTAACTAAATTATTATTTCTTTGGGAAGAATAAATTGGTAAAATTTAATTTGTTCGAAGTACATGGAATTTAACTTGGCGTCAATTGTTGATATCAAATCTTTTATATAAATGATACATATCATTAGTTCTACTAAACAGCAAACGTGATTAGTTATCAGTTTCACGGTCGATTAAGTAATTGGCGTTGGTGAAAATAGCCCAAATGGTGATTCTTTACGAGAAGCACTATTCGGATCAGTTTCACCAACGCTTAGCGCTCTTTTTTACCTTTTTTTTTAAAAAGGTAAGTTTGTATATAATTTTAACATTCCATATAGAAAAACTTATATACACATGATACATATCATTAGATTTAAGTAAATAATAAAAAAAAGATTGGGTTTTTACTTTTTAATTTGGTAGAATTTCATTAATTTGATAATCAATTATACGAATATGATACATATCATTAAAGTTAAATAAATTATTATTTCTTTGGGAGGAATAAAATGGTAAAATTTAATTTGCTCGAATTACATGGAATTTATACAATGAATTAATAAAGAGCATACAGCCACAACGCCAGTTAAAATTAGCACATATATATTCAATTTACATCAAGTAAACGTTTCGGTCACCATCTGACCATCATCAGTACATCAAATTTCATATTAAAAACATATATAAATTAACAAATATCAATTGTACAAATTAAAAGAATTATTTTTGTTTGCAAAAAGCATAATTATTTTAAAATAAAATACGACAATCAATAGTAAGAAGTCGATTCCAGTCCAAACACGATAAGAATATTTAAGAAGTTGTACATCAAAGTCAATTTGTTATAATATACAGAATATATCCATTTGAATATGCGATTGCCAGATGCTAAATATCCAAATATTAATTGTAACCAAACCAAAAACAGAAAAAAATCAAAAAAACTTTTTTAGAATTATAATACGAGTATGTTTAAAATCTATTCATATAAAATCAATTATTAATATAACGTATTAACAATTTTATTAACTCACCACATATTTGCCGATATATGTATTAAACCAAATCGTCACACATTCATCTTCCACAACAAAATTCTTTTAGAGTCAAACAGAACAAAACTTTTAAAAACAAAAGTAGAGAGCATGCACCACACACCAGGTTTTATCGGTGAATATTAATGTCAATAGAATAACTGCCGAAACGTCTATATAGCGAATTATGAATGACTGTTACATGTAAGAGTTTTGTTTTCTTAGGGTTAATAAATTTTATATTGATGACAGTTATTCTATTGACATTAATATTCACCGATAAAACCTGGTGTGTGGTGCATGCTCTCTACTTTTGTTGTTATTATCAAGCCACATATAAATCTACAATTAAAACTTTTAAATTTAAGAGAATATAATTTTTCAAATAAATTATCGTTATACTGAGAACAACATTCTAAAGCCAAGTAACTTGTGACCGCTTACCATTGTACAGGCAGTATTTATATTTTATTATATTTTATTATTAGACAAAGAAAGTAGAGTTCTGGAAAAAGTCAACCAATATTATGTGAGAGAGAGGCTAATGATAGGAATATATACGTCAGAAAACCGTTCCGTATCACTCTGCTTGTTTAAACTTTTCCTTTTTTTTTTTATGTGGATCATCTCTGAGATCATTCTTTTATAGTAAGATTGTTCAGAATCAACTATATTAGTGTTATCCCAATCTATTACATGATTAAAATCCAATATATGCCTCGAAATAACCGACAAATTATTCATTGGTTTTTTATAGTCATTTTTGTGTTCTTTTATTCTAATTTTAAGCTTGCGTTTAGTTTGTCCAATATATGTAAATTCGCAATCTTGGCAATTTATTTTATATACTAAATTTGATTGATCTTTTTTTATTATGTCTTTACCAGTTTTTATGACAGAACTTAAATTATTTATAGGTCTATAAGCAATATCAAAATTAAATTTATTTGTAATAGATATAAATTTTTCAGAAATTTTTTGAAAATAAGGAATGGTGAAATACTTTTTCAAAATATTAGTTGAATCTATATTTTCTCTATGTTCATTAATACAATCAAAAGATTTATTGTAAGATAAAGATTTTATTCTGTTATTAATTGTTGAAAACAAAAATTGTAAAGGATATCCGTTATTTAAAAAAGTATTGCTTAGATTATTAATATTCTTTTCGTGAAATTTCGGGTGAGAAAGAAATATAACTCTGCCCAGCTGACTTAGTATTACTCCTCTTTTGTGTGTCACAGGATGATTTGAATAAAAATTCAAATATCGTCCAGAATCCGTAGACTTTTTATAAATATCAAAAATTAATCTGCCGTTCTCAATTAACAAAGAACCCCGCCATAATCTTATGGAAATTGGGTTTCAGCGAAACTTTCTGGATTTTTTATATGTTGTAATCCTTACCATCCCGAACAAAAGTCTCCATGGCCGTGATCCTCCAAATTCAATATTTCGATAAATAAAGCAAACACTATCATAAATCCATATGTATAAGTACGCATAATAGACAGTAGCGCTAATACAGAGATTTGTCATCAGATAAACATGAATGTCAGCAAGTATATTGATTAAGGTCAATCATTTAGTTCACTATTGACTCTATGATTCTGTGCCCATTTTACTGCGAACATGTATTGCTATTAATTTTTTTACCGGTTTGAAAAGATTTAAGCACTTGTTTCTCCTGATAATCTAATTATATGGATTTATGATAGTATTTGCTCTTTATCTATCGAAATATTGAATTTGGAGGATCACGGCCATGGAGACTTTTGTTCGGGATGGTAAGGATTACAACATATAAAAAATCCAGAAAGTTTCGCTGAAACCCAATTTCCATAAGATTATGGTGGGATTCTTTACATCAAGAAAGTTTAATCCTTCATTATTTCCATGTTCAACTGTAAACTCAATTCTTTCATGGTAAGAATTGAAATAATTCAGTTTGGAGACAATCTGATCCTTTGGAAGAGCCATAATAATATCATCAACATAACGAAAATAGAAAGGAATATGAGTGGAGAGTTTATTAAAAATGTTGGATTCTAAATCTTGAATTACTATATCAGCCAATATTGGAGAAAGAGGAGATCCCATGGGTAAGCCAAAAATTTGTTTATAGAACAGTCCATCAAATTTAAAAAACGTGGAATTTAAAATAATAGATACAGCCAATTTAAATTCATTTTTCGGTATTGTTGTGTTACATTCAATAAAATTCCATCTTCTTAAAAAACTATTCAAAGCTAGTTCATTCGGAATGTTGGTATACATTGAGGTGATATCAAATGATACTAAACTAAAATTGTTATCTATTTTTAAGCCATTAAGTTTTCTAACTAATTCAAAACTGTTCTTAATATAACCAAAATTCTTTTTTATACTTTTTTCTATAATATCTTTTAAAAAAGTAGCGAGATTAAAAAATGGACTATTTACACAACTTACTATCAATCTGAATGGATATCCTTCTTTATGTACTTTGGCCAACCCATAAGATCTAGGACACCATCCGAAGTATATAATTTATTGTAAGTAGATTGGTCTATGTATCCTTTATTTTTCCAACGTATTAAGATTGTGCGTATTTCTATCGTCAATTTATTAGTGGGATCTTTAGTGACATTAATGTAAGTATTATTATCGTTCAAAATTTCGTACATTTTACTATTATAATCATTGCGATTTAAAACTACAGTGGTGTTACCCTTGTCAGCCCTCGTGATTAAAATGTCAGGATGATTATTAATAAATTTAATAAGATCTTTCATACCCTTTTTTATTATAACATTATTAGGATCATTAGTATGGCTAAAATTTATATTATTTAGTATGGGAATAGCATCTTTTCTAATATAATTTTTAGTATTTTCATCTAATTTTATTAAATTATTTTCGATGTGTTTTACAAATTCTATTTTTATATTTTCTTTATTGATAACATTATTTGGTAGATTAAATTTTTGTCCTAATTGTAAAATAAATTTTGAAATATCCGGAATGTCAATGTTACTAAGATTTATCAACCATTTGTTATTTAATTTATTAAAATTATAGTCAATATTAAAATTATCCGGGCTAATATTAATGTTGTGAACCAACATTTGATTATTAGAGTAAATGTCCTTCGCAGAAATATTATTTATTTTGGTTGGACAAAAATTATTTTTATCATCCCTATCAATAGGTTTACTAATTTCAACAATGTAATTAATAGATCTAATTTTTTTCCTTTGTATTATATTCTCTTAAATTTAAAAGTTTTGTTCTGTTTGACTCTAAAAGAATTTTGTTGTGGAAGATGAATCTGTGACGATTTGGTTTAATACATATATCGGCAAATATGTGGTGAGTTAATAAAATTGTTAATACGTTATATTAATAATTGATTTTATATGAATAGATTTTAAACATATTATAGTTCTAAAAAAAGTTTTTTTGATTTTTTTCTGTTTTTGGTTTGGTTACAATTAATATTTGGATATTCAGCATCTGGCAATCGCATATTTAAATGGATATATTTTGTATATTATAACAAATTGACTTTGATGTACAACCACTTCTAAAGTATTCTTATCGTGTTTGTACTGGAATCGACTTCTTACTATTGATTGTCGTATTTTTATTTTAAAATAATTATGCTTTTTGCAAACGAAAATAATTCTTTTAATTTGTACAATTGATATTTGATAATTTATATATGTTTTTAATATGAAATTTGATGTACTGATGATGATCAGATGGTGTCCGAAACGTTTACTTGATGTAAATTGAATATATTTGTGCTAATTTTAACTGGCGTTGTGGCTGTATGCTCTTTATTAATTCCTTGTATAATTTTAAGCCACTTATTATGTTATGTACATGGAATTTAACTTGGCGGCAATTGTTGATATCAAATCTTTTATACAAATGATACATATCATTAGTTCTACTAAACAGCAAACGTGATTAGTTATCAGTTTCACGGCCGATTAAGTAATTGGCGTTGATGAAACTGGCCCAAATGGTGATTCTTTACGAGGAGCACCATTTGGGCCAGTTTTACCAATGCTTAGCGCTTTTTTTAAAAAGTTAAGTTTGTATATAATTTTAAAATTCCATAGAGAATATCTTTTATACACATGATACATATCATTAGAGTTAATTTATGCTACCGTATAAATCATAAAAGTCGTCGATGCACCACAGCGCAATCATCACCAATGTCATTGCTAGGGCCCGGATGTTCGCACGCGAAGCACCACTGCGTGCTAGTAAGTCGAACGGTCGCTGAAATGAGCCATCTTATTTCAGCGATCGTTCGACTCACTAGCACACAGTGGTGCTTCGCGCGCGACCCGGGATCGCGTCCGAACATCCGAGCCCTAGTCATTACGATCAATTTGTTTCGGATTAATAAGAAATTCTCTAATCTTTCTCCTTTTCGTTGCCTGTAAATTTAAGACAACAATGATCACCATGATAAGAATAAGAAATTATACCAGAAATCAATTAAGGAAGAATTACCAATGGGAGTCAACGCAAAATGTTTTTTGCGAAATAATAACTGTCATATATTATAAATCACAAGTATAAATTACAGACGTTTCGACATCATTATTGTGTTTGCTTCAAATGTATAAACCATATTCTAGATATAGTTGAAACAACCTTACTTTGCGTGGACGTAGCTCGCCGGTCACGGGCTGCGGCCAGGGTCGCAAAGAGGTTCGGCCAGGAGGAGAGAGACAAGGCGGTATGAATGAATCGGAATACGGTTTTGAGAAATAAGAACGATGATATATTCTGTTGTTCAAGTACAGCGTGTGAGTGTGTGTATATGTATGTGTATGTGTGTACGTGTGAGACCAGTCGTCGCGGCTGGTATTCACGAACGGCGGTGTATGCGTGTGTGTACAAAATCGGTGTCGGTGTGAGTGTGCGGAGTGTGTGTGTAACGCGGGTGTGTGTGTGCGGTGGGCACGATTCGCCGTGCGAATCGTGGTCGCGTGCTTCGCTCGGTGACGCGCGGTGTACGGGACGCGGGCTT